GTAATCCACAAATGTCAAATGAAGAGATTCATTGTATTCCTTATACTTTTCTGTAAGTGTCCGTATTTTCTGTAGGTATTGGTACTATAACCTTTGCAAAATCCTTGTTGTTCAATAGACTGGTAACTATCGAACTTATTTGATATATTTGATATAATCTTAAGATATTAATGAAGCAATACTTATAAATGGAAAACGATTGACCTACATATGATACCGCCATTTCCATAGAAAGACTAAAAAGTCTCAAGACAAGATCTGGAGAGTAGTAGAATAAAATAGTAGACTCGGCCTCGACGTTAACATATAAATAAGTATAGTTGTAGGTATAAATATGATAAAACCAAAACAAATATTAGTTAGCCAACAAAAATATTACAGACCACCAACTATTGACCAAAGAGAATATTTGACTGAACTACAGATTAAGAAAACGAGACCAGTACTTACCGAAATGAAAAAAAAAGTCACAACATACAATTAAAGTAGGAGTTTATATTGTTCTCTATGGAGTGAAATTGTAGACATTAATTAAGGCATCGATAAAAAAAATCTTGAAGCGTTTGAGATGTGGTGCTATAGACAAGTTTTAAGGGTCTTTTGGATAGATTGAGGTACCGATGAAAAGTTTCAGTAAATGCTTGAAGAAGATTGAAGATTGCAAAATAATCATAACCATCAAATGATTTGAACAAGAAAAATGTATACGTCATATAATGCGATATGAACAACAATATAATCTGCTTCAAATCGGTCCACAAATCAAAAGTGTACGAAAGACAAGATTCAGGAATAAGAAAGATATCCTGGCTGCCAACTTAAGTGCCAGAGATCTTTAAAAAATAAGTAATAATATGTAGAAAAGAAAATAGAGATAACTTTTTTTTGTTCGTTTTTAAGAGAAATTTTCATAAATATTTACTCTACATGAATATTACAACTATTAATTCTTAACTAAAGATAACCTAAACTAGGCTTCCACATAATAGTTTTAAATTTCTCGTAGGAATACGAAGACCTGTCTAACTACATTGTAACAATTAATTCTCTACAATAAAAAGTCAACTGTAAAATATGTTGTTCACCTGCTACTTAATGACCGCAGACATTACTCATATCATTCGTCGAATGAGTCATTGAATAAATCGAGGCTTGTTTTATATAACGAACATTCCTTATCATACGTTCTTATAGATATTTTCTTTTTAAATATAAAGCTATTATTCTAAATCTATTATTATAAAGCTATAATATAGATATATGTGGCATTAAAAAATTGCAATCTTTTATACAGTTCTTAATTTATTTTTATTTATTAACTGTATCTCTTCTCCGTTATATAACCTTCGTCCGTATAACTTCGTCAATTTCTCTCATAAATTCTTTCCTGTTATCTATCAGTTGCTTATCATTAATCTCCCACTTCTTATTCTATATTAGGTCTATATTTCCTGTTTCCTACTTTTCTTTTTGTACATTTTGTAATAAATATCCAGGCTTTAGTTGTTACTATATTGCCTCCTAGATATCTCCCTACATTTTCACATTCTCTCGTTCCCAGAGTTCATTTTTCTTTTGTGACACGATATTTTGGTTTCTCTGTTAAGTTATACATAAGTTTTTCTCTCTTCTGGACCTTTTTTAAGTCAATATGCTTTTCTTTCGATTCGTGATTCTCTTTCGTGATTTTCTTTTCTACTTTTATCCAAATATCCAAACGACTCCCTTGTCCCTAACTGGTACATCTCTTCTGCTGTTTCTACTTTATCTAAAATTCTTAGCTTTGCAGTTACTCTTATCTTGTAGACATGATCACGGACAGGATTATTTTTAGGGGGTGCATCTACTTTTCAGGTGCTACATTAGCATCTACAAATACCATTAACCAATATAAAATACATATATACATGTAGAGCTATTTACTTTCTTTCCGGACAGGTGGGTGCAATTGCACTCCCTTGTACCTCGATGCTGACGCCCATGCTTTTAGAAGAATCATGTAGATTTATCTCTTTGTTACATTACAGTTTGTGTAATATTCTTTTTATAGTTAATAGTAACTTTACCTACCAATATGTAGTAGTCTGGTCCCTATTTGCGTTAAGATAGGTCCTTACATCATTTGTTTTTGGTTTTGTATTTTTGTGGCTGATCAGATATACAATAATTAACTGCAGTTTCATCTTTGGGCGAATTCATGTAAATTTAGTGATATATTTGTACTGGAAAAATCCATGTATAACCTTTAAGTTTAATCTTTGGAATATTAGTCTAGGTGGTATCTGTTTATCTGTTTAAAATAAAGATTTTTGGGTCTGAAGCATATAATGGCAGTTTTTTGTATAAATCGCTTTAAAATATCACTACAAATGGTAATTTTACTATACCTGAGTTGTAAAATGTAGGCTTAACTTTTTATTAAACAAAATATGAAAAAGTACATATTTTTCCTCTTTTATTAAAAAAATACTAAAAACCACAAAAAACAGTTAAAAAAGGTATTTTTTGTGAGTTTATTTTCCAGACTAATGTCAAACCTAACTTTTTCAAAGATTATTTTGCGATCAAATTTTTTTTAATGAGTAATTTTCAAAATTATGCAGGTCAAAAACTTAGGTTCAACACGCAAGCAGAAAGAAATGTGTATCATTGTCTATGACAACAATAGTGCTAGAAACGTAGGTTGCAAGTCACTGTTAATAACTCTAGCTTTGAAGTGGTGGACAAATTCACATACTTAGACTCTTTGATGCTCTTAGGCTCGCTGATATAACCTCTATTTGGAAACAATCAAACGAAGGATAATTTTAGCAAACAAGTGCCATATCGGGCTAAGTAAAATCATAAAAAGAAGAAACTTAAACCAGAAAACAAAAGTATTAATAGAAATGCCTCTTGCTATCAGTGCTGATATATTAGCAGGAAACATGGACCGTCAGTTTGTAAAGCCATTTATTCAAATTTTTTCTAAAGGTAACACATGGTCGTATCTATCATAAATGCGAAGAATTCCCAAGTAAACGGCGACTAGCGAAAAACAACGAAACACTATAACAGTATACAAAAAGAAATTCGACGTAAAATACGAGAAGAAAAGAGTCAACATCTAGCCAAACAGTGTCATGACATGGAAGAACTTGAAAAAAGATACGACAGGCTTAACATGTATAAAAACTTGAAAGAAGCGGCTGGTATCTTCAGTAAGAAACAAACTGCATTGCTACAGGATGAAAATGGTAAAGTATTATTTGGAGTAGAGGACAAACTTAAAGAATGGGAAAATTACGTCACGAACCTATTCGAATACGATAGGAGTAGGTTACCTCCCGATATTAATAACTGCGACGGACCCCTAATAACACGCTCTGATGTTATAAAAGCCATACAATCATCAAAAGATGGCAGAGCGACTGGTCCTGATGAAATTCCAACTGAAATATATAAGCTTACAAATGATACCAATATTTTAGAGACTATAACTTTGTTTTTCAATACCATTTATACCAGCGGACAACTATCTAATGGTTCGTCTAATTCACTGTTTATAGCTCTATCTAAGAAGAAAACAGCAAAAACCTGTGCTGATTATAGAACCATCAGTTTGTTAAACAACTTATTGAAAATTTTTCTGAAGGTAATACATGGTCGTATCTACAATAAATGCGAGGAATACCTGGATGACACTCAGTTTGTTTTCGTAACAGGTTTAACACGAGAGAGGCATTGTTGGGGATTAACGTACTTGCTCAAAGATGTGATATATCTGTAGACATGTACTGTTGTTTTATCAATTTCCAAAAGGCATTGATCAACTTGAGCAAGTTGATCAAATTGTTTATTTTAAATATCATGGTGAAATTAGATCCAAAATTGAGCAGGTCAGAGCCAATTTTAGAAGGATGTCCAAGGTATTATGTAACAAAGACCTAAAATTGACATAGTGAATCCGCCTACTTCGCTGCTACGTGTTCTCAGTCTTACGTTATGGTGTCCAGCCTTGGACTGTGAATAAAAGTAATCTAAATTGCCTTAAGGCGTTCGAAATTTGGTGATATGAAAGAATTTTAAAACTTTCTTGGGTGAATAAGATTCGAAACTCCACTATAGTAGGACGTCTCAGCAATACTACTGAGATTATAAAAAGCATCACATCAAGAAGAGGAAGCTGGAGTACTTCGGACATGTAATGTGAATATAGGTTGCTACAAAATATTATGAAAGGAAAAATAGCAAGCAAACGCATTCTAGGACGAAGAAACATTTCATCGGTGAAGAACTTGCGAGATTGATACAGTATTGATACAAGCGTACTATTTAGGGTGGCAGTGAATAAAATTAAAATAGCTATGATGGTAAATAACGTTCTGAAAGGACATGGCACACGAAGAAGAATAATGGACCACCTCCAAGGTAGATAAAAACCTTCTGCTCATATTTGAACGAAGGATCCTGGAAGGTGTATTCGGTGGGATCGGTGGAAATGGTAACTGGTTAAGGAGGCACAACTATAAGATATGCCACAAACAAAAACAGAAATCTGGTGATAAAAATGTGGTATCTCTTATAAATAGAAATATTAAAACGGGCATGATATCTAGAAAGATCACAGTAGAACAAACCTTCTAGGCGAATCCTTATGTCACAGCCTGGGGAAAATAGACGAAGAAGTAGAAAAAACTTATATGGAAGTATGGTGAAGCTGAAGTTGCTAAAAAAATAGGTGCAACAAACTTGTAACGGTTAACAATGATGGGTAGGGACTAGAAAATATGTATATGGCTAGAGCACCATTGATAATGATGAATTTAGTGTCAATAATACCCTTCATTTTTCCCTCTGAATCCTATTAAATGCGCCTAGTTTTTTAGCAATTTTGTAGTTTTTAAATGTTAGTTCAAAAGATAATTACAAAATTACTGATTTTTGTATGCTTGAACATTATACATATTAATTTACTTTGCCTAGTCTTTAATTTTACACCAGTATTTTTTTATTTTTAGAGTAGTTCGACTTACTTGTTACAAATCAAAGACATACAAGAAACAGACGCTGGGTTCTATCAATGCCAGATTCTTATATCGCCCAGCAACAGGGTAACAGCGGAAGTAGAACTGCAAGTCAGAAGGCCTCCCTTTATTTCCGATAACTCAACCAGATCTGTCGTTGTTTCCGAAGGAGAAGGTAAGAAAATATAATTTATGAAATTCTTTATTTTATTATAACTACTATTTGACAAATCCAAAGTCAGAAATGTAACAACAGTGAGTTTTAACTAAAGTGATTATCAAAATGTGAAATTAACTAACTTTGTACGCCAAATAGTGTACCAATATTGATATACAATCGAACTCAATGTTAAAAGTTAAATGGGTCTAATTCTTCTTCTTCCTTCTCTTTATAAACAACTTGTTCATTGGCGGATTAATACCTCTATGGAAGGTTGTCACTCCATCTTTTGCGCAGTCGTCCGATAGTTCTTCTGAAAATTGGTGACTTATCTCTTGCTATTTTGACGACACGGGTCTCCTCCATTCTGGTTATGTGGTTATTCCATTCTTTTTTTCTATTTTGTGTCCATTCATTTATACACTGTACGTTACATTTTCTTCTAATGTCTTCCCATCTCTTTCGATCTCTCAGCGTCTTTCCTGTAATTCTTCCCAGTACTCTAATCTCTGCCGTTTCCAATAGCCTTTGCGTTGTGGCTGTGTGGGGTCTTGTTTCTGAGGCATATAATCATTATTGGTCTTACACTGACTTTATAAATCCTTGACTTCATCTCAGTCTCAATGTGCTTGTTTCACCATATGGTGTTATTAACGCATCCTGCCAGTCTATTTGCTTTTTTTACTTGATCTCTCATTTCTTTGTCCAGGTATCCATAGCTAGACAGTGTAATTCCTAAGTATTTTATTTCCATTAGTTAGAAGTTCCAAGATTAGACAACATCTGGTTGGCTATTTGCTGGCTACTATTGTTTTAATTTTCTGAGATAAGATTGTCATATTAAATTCTTTTGCTCTTATGTTAAATCTGTGAACCAGTGTTTGCAGACTATCTTCATCTCGGGCTATAATATTGCGTCGTCTGCGTAACTAGAATATTTTGATCTCTTTATTTCCCATTCTGTATCCTCTTCCTTTGTTAAATGTTTGGATGACTTCATCCATAATCAAATTGAATAGAATGGGGCTCAATAAATCCCCTTGTCTTATTCCGCGCCTATTTCCATAGGTTCTGTAAGTTGTCCATCTATTCTGACTTCCATTTAGATTCCAAATAGATTTTTCAAAGACAAAATGATAAAAACTGTACGGGAAAAATATTCATCAAGAATAAAACATGCAGATTGAACGAATTTAAAACGGATCATACAATTTAATATATATCTGTTTGAACTGCATTTGAAATAGTGGACCAATATAAAACTTGGACAAAAATAAATCCATACCTGGGTTTAGACATTGTATAAAATATCGTTCAACTATCTGTCTCGCAACAATGTTGTTTGCGTAACAATGTTGCCAATCGCCGTGTAATAATCCGATTTGCGGATGTTTTTGAGAGTTATATCTTCTTCGTATCTTTAAATAAATCGGATATTTGCCTATATTTTTCATTGTATTTACCAATCTACTAACAGACTAATAACAAAAATAAAAATAATGGTTTGTAGTTATTTTCTTTTTTTCTTGTAAATATTTTATGGATAACACCTTATTTGAGAAACATCTAAAGGAATGAGGTTGGCAACACCGCTCAAAGAAGGGCTTGTCTAAGGAAGCGATAAGTGGTTTGACAGCATAATAAAATCGTAGATTTATGTGTAGCTTTCAATTTTTATGATTTCAGAATCCAGCAGCCCGCTGAAGTATTGGATTTTTATAATATAATTATTTGACAACCTTTTGTTGGCCAACCACCTACAGCAAAATTGAGCCGAAATACATAATATTTCGTATATTCCGAATTTATTTCGTTCAATCTGTATGTGAATGTATGCAGTGAAGTGAATTTTTGTAAGATATAATAACTTACCTCAAATGTGAAGGTTATTTACCTTTTAGGAGTAATTATGAAAATAAAGAATTTTAATGTGGAGAACTTACTTGTTCAAAATTTCACCTTTCGGTTTATGTGAAAGTTGTGGTTACTTTAGTGACTTTAGTTACTAATTCTCTAATTAACTGATTGTAACTAACTTTCTAACTTAATTCTCAACTTAACTAAAGGTTACTTTAGTTAATAATTCTCCCAACCAATGTTAAATAGCTCAGTCACGTACTTTAAATGAAAAATGAGGAAGTAGTTGAATTGAATAAGAGAAAAATACAAATAAACTACTTGTAAGAAAATTAGGAAATCTATAATGAATTAGAATCATAATACTCAGATAATAAAATTGTAACGTCGTTCATCACGTTAATTTATATTGTTTTCTTTTTATTCTATTTTTTCACACTCTAATATTGTATCCCTTATCTGAAACCATTATTTATTTTACAGCTGTTGAGATGGAATGCTACGCTGGAGGATATCCACCACCAAGGATATCTTGGCGAAGAGAAAACAACGCCATCTTGCCAACGGGTGGATCGATATACAGAGGAAATATTCTGAAGATAAAGTCAATTAGAAAAGAAGACCGAGGCACTTACTACTGTGTAGCTGAGAATGGAGTGGGAAGGGGAACGAAAAGTAAGTAATTTTTTTTTATATAAATACTGAAAACTGCTGTTTGATATGTCAATCCAGCTTTCTTAATATGCCTCATGTATCTGCGATCAAAGTGCGTAACTGGTGTCGTTGTTTAAAGAATTTTGCACTGTTTGATGTTCGTTTGACGTATTCTGATTATCATTGCGTTTTTGCTTGAAATTGATTGACCATAGAGAAACTTTTTCTGGTTTCAGCTTAATGAATTAATTATTTACAGCTTTTTCTTCCTATACTGCTCTTTCATTATGTGTCATATGCTAGGATTCGGCTAGTTGTATAGTTTGTATGTTTTTTTCTATCTTAATATAATTATTATATCCTCCTCTTTAATTTGCTATGTCGCATGTTAGGATTTGATCAGATGTTTATTTTGTACTCAGCCAGTGGGCCTCTTTAAATCAATAAACCAAAATTTGTCTTTTATTTAATATATTATCATCCATAGTGTCCTATGATATCTCGATACAACTTATAGTATGTAACTATACGTTAATTAATAATGAAGATACTGTGTAGTGCCCTTTTGGTAGTCGCCTTGTTTGTTATTTCTATCTTAATATATTCTTTATATCCTCCGCTTTCATTTTACATGTCGCACGTTGGGATTAGATCAGTTGTTTATTTTGTTCTCAGCCAGAGACCTTCAGGTAGAGGCAAATCAAAATGTGTCTTATAGTTAATATATTTTCATCCATAGTTTCCTATGATATCTCTTATGTAATTCGCTACCCCCTTTCCTTTCCATTGATGTATCATACGTCACGATCCGACGATCTTATTCTACCTCCACCATAAAACCCTCAAAAAATGAGCAGAATGTACCTTAGCGTTTTTTGGAATTTACACGAGAAATGAGGCAGAAATGGTATAGCTCCTTTACTTCTAACATAAAGCTTTAAATTGTTTTGCCGAATAAATCTTACCTCACAATTACAGTAACAAATTTTTTTAGCAACTTTGCGAAAAAAATAATTATTGATGAAGAAATGGACTTTTTCATTCATTTCCATATTGTGAAAAAATTAAGCATTGTCGACAAAAACGTTCACGAGACAACTTTCTTGAAAATTCTCTTTAAAATGAGATTTTTTAAATTAAAAAATGTTTATAAACAAAAAGGTTATTGCAAATTTAACTCAAAATTAAGCATGTTTTTCAATTGTTTATAGTTATTAAAATAAACAATGAAAACATTTAAAGCATATTTCGTAATGTGAGTTTTATGTAGTTACTACATTTGCGAAAGATGGGCACAATCGGTCAAGTAGTTTTTTAACAATTATATTTTTTTATCCCATTTTAGAGAACAAAGGTCATTTTCAAATGGGTGTACAGGTGCTTTGTCAATACTCTGAATGTTTTTTTGGTCTGATTCTCTTTATGAGCTCGCCAATTTTCATGTTTTTTAAAAACAATCATAGTTTTTAATTGTTTAGATATAAATAATTGATGCAGAATGAAGTACCATTACCATTATATTGGCAATATCCCTAACTCATTCCGCGCAGTATATCTAATGAATACTGTTTATATTTCTTTAGGTTCCAATTCCACTACAATGTTGTGTTTGTCACTATAGATTAATGTTTAGGTTTCTTTAGTACGTTGCTTCTTTATGTGTAATTCGCTATATTTGAAATTGACGAACAAATATTCTACATATTTCTTTTGTTGTGTTCTTGGCGGAAGTCAAATTTTTGTCTCATGTCTCTTTTCCATTAGTTTCTAAATTTTCTTGTAAGTATGCACTCTTTTAAAGTTAATTTTATCAATTTGTATATGAATATTCACCAGGGGGTGGAAATTTTACTGTGAAATTTCTACTATATTTCCTGGAATTATTTTTTGTAGCAATTTGTTTTAGTTAATTTAATTAATTTAGATGTTTTTTTATCATTGGGATTTCTGTTGGTCTATGTACACACTATATTCTCACGAACTGGTTTATTAGAAGATTTTTTTTAAATAACAATATTTCCAATCAAAGCTTTTTTTTCATGTTCAATTAAAAACCGCACATAAATATGTAAAAATATACAGAAAGTTGTTATTCAAGATAATTGTTATACGATGGGTATTTCCAAACTGTTTGATTTTTATTTAGTATTCTGCAAAGACAGTCAGAAATTAAGCAATAGTGACTTATTAATAACAAGTACTTATTCTGGAGCAAATATTATGATACAAGTATTTCGAATTTATGCAACAACTAAATAGTGGATAGAAGATATAGAGTTACAGAAAATACAAAATAATGTTTATTAAAAAATACCAGGAATTCCAAATGACATTAAAACCGTTAAACTTTAAGGATTTTGCTAATATTAGTACCTGACGGAACTGTTTAAAAGAAAGGAAAATAATAATCAACACATAACGTACCTGAATTAAGGAACGAAATAGAAATCAGTTTTCAGGAAGTAGAGATAGCCAGAAATTCTCTCAAAAATAAAAAGTGACCAGGACCAGACGGAATAACCATCTAGCTTCTAAAACACGGAGGAGAAAGTATAACCCTATAGATAACAAAATTTATACAAAAACTATAGTCCGTCTAGAAAGTATCCGGAAAAAAGAAAGCTGAATTATAATTTTACGGTATTTATTTCTATCACTTGAAATATTAAATTTCAACAAATAATTCATCTCATTTACTTATACAACCTCCATTTAAATCTAAACACTTAACTAAACGTCCAGGTACACCCGAAACTAGGTCAAGGCCATAATTTTCGATAATGGTGTTCTTGGCCTGTAAAACTGACCCAATTAAATCTTCTTTATCTCGCGGCGCTACTCGTTCCACATCAATCTTCATCAGTCCCCATATGTTTTCAATGAGGCTAAGATCTGGAGATGCAGCTGGCCACGGAATTGTTGCCAATTAGTGTTCTTGCATTCAAGCGTGAGTATAAGCAGAAGTATGGCGTCTTTCATTATCTTGCTGAACATCCCAGCTTACCCCTCTGGATATAAAACATGATTTGTTTCTAGAAGAAAACCATTTAGGATGTCAAAATATTTCGCACTATCAACAGTACCATTAACTATACAGAGAGGTGTAGCACCACGCTGAGATATGGCTCCCCAAACCATTATTTTAGTGGGAAATTTGGAAATTTGAACGGTGACATTTTCGCTTGATAGGACTTTTAGATGATTTGCACCAAGCTGGAAACAACTTTCATCAGATATAAAGACATTAAAATTATCTTCTCGAAAACGAATACAAAAATCTATTCTTCGTTGCCTTTGCAGAGGTGTCATTGTAGGGATTTTTTTTGTATTCCTTGATATGTAGCCTTGCGTTTTTAGTGACATGCGGACAGTTTCTGGGCATACTTTTATTCTTCGTTGATTTCCAAATCTCTTCGCTAATTTTCGAAACCCTAGGCGCGGATTTTGTCGTCCTAAAGCCACTAAGGCATTTAAATTGTTTCCGCGAATCTTACGCGGTCTACACGAAACTGGTCCATGTCTCACGTCTATGCCATTTTTTATCCTCTTTATTGTCTCATCCAGTGCAGTTTTCCGAGTTCAGTCAATTGCACTAATTTTTTTACGTTTCGGACAACCTTTCTATACAAATATTCCACCACTTTTCATTTTTCTACTTGCGACATTATTTCACAAATCTTAAGTCTGTTTACAAACAACAATATTTGACAGATGGTGTTGTCATACGATTTTGTTCATAACCTACTATCGGCACAACCTACTTGATGCATCACTTTTGTCTTAAAATGTAACAAAAAGAAAATGTATTAAAATTAGGAAAAATATAAAATTCCGGATACTTTCTAGAAGGACTATAATATTGCACTGCAAGATACCAGACGCATGGAGAAACAGCATAATGATACCAAAAGTCATAACCAACAAAATCAATAAACTAACAACTTTATCAGATGAACAACAAGGATTCAGATCCCGAAGATAATGTGTAGATGCCGTATTTGTACTAAGATAAATCACAGAAAAGGCCATCGAGTACAATAAACCAGCATATCTATGTTTTATAGACCTGACAAAGGCTTTCGAGCCATCGAAAACATCTACTTTCGTAATCAAATACAGGCAAAGATAAATGGAAAACTAACACAATGTACACCAGTACAAAGCTGAGTCAGATAGGATGACTCGTTAAACCCACTTCTCTTTAATATAATTTATGGACGAAATAATACAAGCAGTACAAAAAGATTGTGGTTACAGAATGGGGAACAAAGAAATCCAAATATTATGTTATGCAGATGACGCCGCATTAATCGCCGAGACAGAAGACGAGCTCCAAAGATTAACATACATCTTCAATATAACAGCCAAGAAATATAATATAATAATATTAGTAGGAAAAACCAAATGTAAGACAACATCTAAATGCCCACTACTATGTAAAATCGAAATTGATGGGAAAATAATAAAGCAGGAAGCAAGGTTTAGATTTCTGGGAATAGATATAACTAGTTACGGAGATGTTGAACAAGAAGTACGACAACAAAGCTTAAAAGCAAGTAAAGCGGCGGGATATCTTAATGACACAATTTGAAAGAACAAACCCTCAAGATAAGACACAAAAACAAGAATCTATAAAGAAGCTATTAGACCTATAGTAACGGCGGAGACAAGACCTGACACATCTAAAACGAGACGACTTCTAGAAACAACAGAGATGAAAATACTCCGACGAATATCAGGGAAAAGTCTGTTGAATAGGGAGAGGCGAAAACATAAGAAGAACATGCAATATAGAAGACATAAATGGATTGGTGACAAAACGGAAACAGAAGTGGAACGAACACATTAGTAGAATGGCAGAGGATAATATAGTACAAATAGCACGAGATAAGTCACTTAATGAACGAAGAAGTATTGGCAGACCAAAAAAAAATAGTGCGATAATTTAAACAATTTGGGAGGCTAATCTTGAAGAAGAAACAGGCTTTAAAGCCTGCATACAAGAAGAAAGAAGAAGAAGCTAATATTCGAAAAAACATTTGCAATAAAAAAAGTTTTGGTTATTTTCAAGTCGAATAGAAATAAATAAACCGGGTAAATTACTTTTTCTCGTTACATGGACGGTATTATTATCAATATGGCCAGTGGTACGAATCAGGTCGGAGCTAGGCTCATGGATAAAGTCGTACATTTTAATCCATCGCTAAGCGCCGGGTTTCTTCTTTAATTAGTACAACAAATCCGGAAATTTGAAACAGTTTAGAAGAGGTAGAGGATTGGAGAAGTACATTGCCTTGAGGAACATCTGAGTTTATTGGATGTAAGTCTGTGGTCTCATTCCCATGCTTTATTTTGGAGCGCCCAGCTGTCAGCTATGATTTTAATAGCTGAGAGTGTGAATGGAGCAGTTTGATAGTAGTTTCTTCAGTTTGACTAGCAATCCGTCGTAAATTGGCTTGTCAAAGGCTTGAGATACATCAAGAAAGCCTGCACAGCAATATCTTTACCATTCACATTCTTATTGATTCGATTAACCACTACAGAGACCATTTTTAAAGAGAGAGGTCAAAACAGCAGGTAAAGTGGTCAAACTGAAGTCACTGAAAATAATTTCCTCTTGTGTTAAAATGTAGTTTGAAATATTATTTTTCAAAGAAATAACAATACATGCCCATTGATTATATATCTAACAGGTATACAAAAAGGAGAATCAAAAAGGGATATATTTATATATTACATTAAATTAATATTAAAGTGGATACATGTTATTGATATCTAACATATAAGCAATATGTCTAAATTAAAAACTTACTGATTTACTTATAAATTATGAATTTCCATCTCTTCCTCTTCTTCTATGCCAGATTCGTTGTCTGGCCCGATTTGAATGATTATATATTGATAAAGTTCTTCAATGTTATTATCAACAGTCCACTATCTTTCTTCATCTTTTACGTGGTCTACGGCATTAGTCCAGCTATCTTTCGTTACGTTTTTTTATGGAATTTGATAAAAGTTGTTTGACATCCTTCAAATATTATTGGTTGCAATGAAAATCACATTTTTAATTAACAAATGTTTGACGTTTCGATTTTTACTCCAGAATATGTTTTCCAGCCTTCTATGAATACAGAAGGTACCCAGCTACCGGAGTAGTAACTACCACAACTGTTGTGGTCACAATTAAAGATAAAAATACGTTTATTGACGTTTCAATTTCCACTTAGGAAATCGTTCTCAAAATAGAAACAGTAAATTAAACAAATTTTGTTTTTTGTTACATAGTGAAAAATTCTTCTAATAATTTAATTTTATCTGACTCATTTATATTGACAATTCAGACATACATTATGCATTTTAAAGTAGACGACTTTAAAATGATATTGCCAATATTGTTGAGTTGCGCTCCTGGGACGACTTTACTTATAAGATAGTTCATTCGATTACATGAAATCAACTTTAACTTGAGAATATCCGTCAGAAAAAATCATAGCATGTAATTCGTCTTTAAAAAGACAAACACATGACATGATGACAGTACAATTCTCCTGTTAGTGATTCCATAGTAAATTATGAGGGAAAAACCAGGAAAAAAACCTCATAATACTATCCCGACATTGTAAGTATTTGTTCGTGAATTTAGTTTACCTTCAACAAACGTCAAAATTCTGATTTTATATGTTACTTTTATTCCTAAAAGAAACGGATGGTAAAAAAAATAAAATCAAAGAAGCGGCTCTAATTATGCTAAATGAGGCCAATTGTGTCGCAAATTCCTCGGCAGAATGTAGTAGGATCTGGTTACCAATATTGAAAGAGGAAGTTATTAATAAGAAAATACCAGTATTAGTAAGTCAGTAACATATAGAGGATACATCATTTATGTTTTTTAAATAACGTAACATATAAAATCAGAATTTTGATGTTTTTTGAATGTAAACTAAATTCACGAACAAATACTTACAATGTCGGGATAGTATTATGAGGTTATTTCCTGGTTTTTCCCTCATAATTTACCATGGAATCACTAACAGGAGAATTTTACTGTCATCATGTCATGTATTTGTCTTTTTAAAGACGAATTACCTGTTATGATTTTTTCTGACGGATATTCTCAAGTTAAAGTTGATTTCATGTAATCGAATGAACTATCTTATAAGTAAAGTCGTCCGAGGAGCACAACTCAACAATATTGGCAATATCATTTTAAAGTCGTCTACTTTAAAATGCATAATGTATGTCTGAATTGTCAATATAAATGAGTCAGATAAAATTAAATTATTAGAAGAATTTTTCACTATGTAAAAAAAAACAAAATTGTTTAATTTACTGTTTGTATTTTGAGAACGATTTCCGAAGTGGAAATTGAAACGTCAATAAACGTATTTTTATCTTTAATTGTGGCTTATTCCCAGTTAAATAGTAATTAATTTACAATGCCACAAAAAAATAGCTTTAGAACAATAATGGCTTGTATGTTTATGTTTATGCTTCACTCCAATACAATCAAGGCTTACGTACGGCGGCATTGAGCTCATGAGTAGATTTTTTCCAGTTAAAGTATGACAGTTTATTACCATTATTCATTGATCATATATATGAAATTAAAAAAACCATCGAAAGTGAACAAGTAAAACATGTAAAATATTTAGAAAAACCATCCAAATATATTACAGGTAGTTTTTTCTTAAGCATTTTCTGTATATGTATGATTTACGAAACATGTGTTTTCACATAACAATCTTTAAGAAAAGTGCAGGTGATTCGAGACATATTCCTTGTATTTTTAGTTCACTTAGTAGTTTCTTAAAAAAATTTACCATTTGAAAACCCAACCTGATTTTAAATGAAACTTGAATCCAATGTTTAACATTTTTTTGTCTTTTAGGAAATATTGCCGTTGAAGTGGAGTTTGCTCCGGTTGTGGTCGTTCCAAGACCTCGTTTGGGTCAAGCCCTTCAGTTTGACATGGACCTGGAGTGTCACGTGGAAGCCTACCCACCACCAGCTATAACATGGGAAAAAGACGATATAACTTTATCGAATAATCAGCATTATAAAATATCACATTTTGCAGTCGCTGATGAATTTACAGACACAACCCTAAGGGTTATAACAATAGAAAAGAGGCAATATGGACAATATGTCTGCAGGGCAGCTAATAAGCTGGGATCAGCTGATGGAAGAGTTGAACTCTTTGGTAAGATATGTCATTTTTAATGCCAACAATACTATGTGAATGTAGTAGAACTGTAAGTGATAACGTATGTGGAATGTTTTGTTGATGATTGTAATTAAAATATATATACAGGAAAAGAATAATGTCAACTAAAAAGAGCATGGTTATTCTAGACTGTCTCAAATTACATTTGTCTTGCAAAAACTTACGAACATAGATCTTTATTCACTTCAAAATCGCTTGTGTTCGCTTTGATTTGAAAATAAGAATTTGATTTTCCATTAATCGTGACGCGTTAATTTTAATTTTACATACATTACTATGGATACGTTACATATTTGGAAAAAGTTAACATCACTAGATTCGAAATTTTCATTTTTGTGTTTTATACGATATTATTTTCTTCTAAAAATAACGAACCGGCATCGTGCTTCGGAGGACACATCAAGCCGTCGATCGGTTGGATCAAAAGTATGGCTAGTGTGCATCGACACTAGTTACCTAAAACAGATTAAAAGATGGAATTTATCGCCGGAATAATGCGAAATGATCTTACCGGTAAAAATGTCATACGTTATTATTATTAATATTTCTTATACTTTTTTTCTGGTGTTTTTAGCCATACTTTTTTTTCAATAATTGCTTCAAACCTTTCTTTATATCTCGTCCAGGTATTTTGCTGCAACTCTCGTCACGTGGATCTCATTTTATGGCGAAAACCTACATTTTTGCTCATGATGGGCATGCAAAAGGTAATACATTCCCCTGGATCTTCTGTAATGTATTCATGACCTCTCAAGAGCGATTTTGCATGAACACTAGTTAGTAAGTACATACTCGTGAAGAATTTCCTATCCAAAATCAGCCCACCACAAATAGATGTTATTCGTCGATAGAAATTGTAGCATACTCAGCCTTCTACATTTTTGTTACACTACAATATTTATTATTTCATACCAAGTACGTAAAACCCAAAGCTGGCGTCATGATAATTGACCTTCCTACCATGGAATTTAACACAAAATCCTCTTACGGCCCATTCGCTCTTATTAGTATTTTTTTTTTAATTATCATAGAACTTTTATTAAGACAGTTAAGATTTGTATAAACTGACAAAATTGTCCACTGAAAGCCGTGTAGACAGTAAATATTATTTCTGTTTTTCTGATTTTCAAAAACTTTAATTTTTTAAAAATATTCTAAACCTGCTTTTAAGTTTTCAGTTGACTTGCTTAAAGTTGACATTGGCTTTCTGTTTGGATTACTATCACTACAATATTTGCTGTTAAGACCATCAAAAATATTATTTATAATTTTCAAAAATTCGGCAGTATGAGGAGCCGTTTTGGTGTGTAACTGCCCTAAAGCTATTGCTGTTGATATTACTGAGGCAACTTAGTTGGAAAAAATTTGTGCTGCTAATTTTACACGCATGTTTTGAAAATTATTAGGGTTTATATGAACGGCTGTTATTTTCACCATGCATCGTGCTCTCACATTGGTTCTATCGATGTTGTATGTGTATTCAATATTTGCCACGATATTTGTTTAGAATCGGCTCAAAACGTCAACTTTTTGTTTTTTCAGACTTTTTAATAAGTGGGGTGTATCAAACACAGTGAAAATCTTCTGATTTCCTATTTCTATTGCAGGCTGATCCATGCGCCTAACAGCTTAAATAAAGCTCTCTTATTAGATGCTTGATCACACGATAACACTTTTGGTATATACCCAATATTTTGTAATTTTGAAACAACTTCAACTACAATGTTTTTTAAATTGTCGCTATGTATTGGACCACCTGTACCAAAATAACAAATCGGAATCTTCCAGTTTTGTAGCAAGCCACGCATCATGAAAAGCAGACCTTTGTTGACAAGTTTGTTTGTTCTTCCTAAAGCACCTAAATCTTGAAACCCTTCTATAATCTCATCTAATTTATTGTATTCCAATTGTTTTTTTCGAAGAAATTTCTTCAAACATTAACACACAAATTTTTCCCACTCATCCATTGTCTCTGCTTTTTTCTTCAACTTGTCAATTAAGGTGTTTAAACCAGTTCTTAAGTTTATGACACGCAACCAAGTTTGAATTGTTTTTACTGAAGGTAATATAAAGTTAAGAGATCTAATTACAAATTTGTAACAACTAGGAGACTTATAATAAATGGCCAGAGCTAAATCCTTTTCATTGTGAACGAGTTTTGTGTGAAAACTGCATATTAACAAAAGTGTGCACGTATTTCTGTTTTTTGTTGTTCTTCTACAACGCTGACTGTTCTTCTGACAGCACTTCTTTTTTAAAGCATTTACTTGGTACTTCAATTTTTTTACCTTCTCCGTCAATGCAGTTTCAAGTTTTGTGGGCAAATTAATTTCAATACTGGAAATATCACTGAGAATACTACTTGATCTCTTAGGCGATGGAGGTGACCTAACCATACAATGGCCACTTATAGATCTTTTACGTTTCGTACCGCAATAAACATATCTAGAGCATACTGGTGGGGTATCACCTAAAATAGGTAATCATTGAAATGTATGTGTAATTTTAATTAAAGCAAAACAAGCATCTCCATTATTTCTGGAGTGATACTAACAACGCATTCATAATTAATCTTTTGATTAAATTGTATAAAAAATATATAAATCACTCAATATCAACTGATTTTATATAAAATATATTTTAATAGTATTGACATTGACAATTGACAAAGCGCATTAGGCAAACATAAAAATATATTTCGAAAGTTGAGTACTCACCTAAATCAGTTGCTGAGTAAATTTTAGAGGATCAGCATTTTTCCCTAATAACTTTCTTTGGTATATATGTTCCACTGCAAAATGATGCTGGAAATTACCCCCTGTTTCAGGTCACTGATATTCATCAATATAGTATCAATATTCCCGTAGTTTTTTTGTCAAATTTTTGTGCGCTCTACGTCTTTAAGTGGAAATTTAAAGAAAGATATATTATTATTTGTTCCATCGTTTCTTTCAAAACAGCCCGCGTAAACACACTTATGCGTTACAGGGGCTATTTTATCTAAAATGTGACTCCTTTTTTTTTTATAAAATTCCACTATAACTTGTCACAACACTTGTCACAGATAATACACCTATAGAGTATGTTCGGTCCTGATACTACTCCTACCTCCTCGCAAGTCAGAGAGAGAATGAGAAATCTTGATACGGTTTTCGAGTAGCGCCATCTAGTTGTTGATACGTCCTTCGGTTACCACGAGGTGAGCTATCTAGTGGGTGGTTTACAATCAATGACTAGAGTGAAAACTAGTTGGCAACCTACATGCCAAGAAATGTTATAGTGATGAATCGATATTAATAGATCAAAACATTTTACAAAACGAAGAAGCAATCATGCATGTTCGATTCTAGCGAATAAATAATAAAAAAGCCGCTATACACAATAAAAAAATCCTTATTATAGAAAGAATATTTACACAGAAATCGCAGTTTCGTGACACATACACAATACAAAATTTTTATAACTGCATTTCCATAACAGTAAGTAAATACTCATAACAGTACATGGCAGATATGAAATATAACACATTTATTTTCAAAAACGTCAAATCACTATTACACAGTTTTTTACTCTTGGCATATAAAATGTTCTGTAAATTTATTTTTCTTCAGTGGGTATTACTATTATCTTTGTTCGTAATTTTTTCAAAGACACCCGAGGTCAAAGAAGAGATTTATCCATAATAATCAATCTAAATAATATGTAAAACAGCTGTTAAACCAAAACAATTTTTAACATCTAATTATGCAGACCTTTTTAATTTTTCTACCCATTTATTAGTTTTTGTTTATTTTATTTTTATTTGAATGTTGCATCTATGTGTGAGTAGGTAGCTATAGCTAGAACATTATTTGTTATGTAGAAACAATCATCCCCGTTTGCCCCCCTGCCTGTGGCTCTGCTAGGTACGCTGGCGCTGCTACCATCTCAACTAGTACCGCTGGATTGCTCCTTACGCTTGTCATATTTGTTTTTAGGTAAGTTTTTAGTTTTTTTTTATTATTTTTTAATAAAGCTATGTGTTAGATTAGTTATTTAATTTTGAAAAGTATAGTATCAGTAAAAAATATTTATCGTTGCATGTTATGACTTCATCAATCAATAAACACTGTTAGTATTATAAACTATTAAATTATTATATAGTATTAGAGAGGTTTATAATTTAAAATTATTTTCAATTATTCAGAGTCAGTCGTAGCAACGAAATGAACCAAAATTATGTTTTTTTAAATGGCACATCCTGTATATTAAAGCATTTTTGAACATATTTCAAATATACAAATATGGACTTCATATTTTTAAAAATAAGACTACAAACAGCCACACTCTAAGAGAAATAAATAAAACTGTTTCGAAGGCAATCAGAAGAGATTTAAGGAAATTTAAATCCGATAATATCAAATGTACTATACAGGAAAATAAATAGCCTAAAAGTTCTACGTAGAAAGTTAACGAATGGAAAATGCGAAATTCATAAAATAAGAAACCAGCAAAATGAAATATTGTCACGTATAGACGACTTCCCATCCAAGCAAAATATTACTAAGAATCATTAAACGCCGTTTGCAACAGTACTTAGACAACCAAATTCCCCAAGAACAAGCAGGCTTTGTCAAAGGGAAGGGTACGAGAGAGCAAATCCTTAATATGCGGCAGCTCATAGAAAAGGCCCGCGAATTTAAAATTCCAATAATAATCTGTTTTCTAGACTACCAAAAGGCATTTGATTCTGTAAAGTGGGAGTTCTCTGGACAGTTCTTCATGAGATGGGAGTTCCAGATCATTTGGCAATATTAATTAAAAACTTATACGAAGATAACTCAGTTAAAATAAGAATTGAAAACCAGACCTGTTCAATTTATATGGAGAATACATAATGAGGAACGCACTCGATGGATGGAGAGGCGGCATCTCCATTGCAGGGAAAAAGATCTCAAACTTAAGATTCGCAGACGATACAACACTGATAGCAACAT